GAGGACCTGTGCATGTCTGACACTCTCCATGCTGGGCTGGGGAAATAGGTTGCATTTCTTCTATTGCACTGAAGAGCTGTCAAGACAAAAATGGCCTCCCTCTGTACATGTGGTATAGATCGCAATAGGGTATGAGCCTGAGAGTTTTGGGATGGGGCTTTCAAATGGCCCCAAGTGAAAGTCCGTGGGAGTTGGCTGTCTCACTCCACTCCTTAGAAAATCACAGCAGGGCCTGGGGTGAGCCAGCAGAATGACCCTGGGTTTACATTAGCCTGAGAAGAGCATCTGGCCCCTCACCTCTTGACTTATCTAATACCCCTGGAAGGACTCAACTCCCACAACTTGGCCACTCCCAAGATGTGATTCTATCTTTTACGTGCAAGCTGCTGCTGGGGGCAGAGGGTTGTCACCACTTGTATTTGGGCTTGAGCCTGCAGAGGTGCTGAGTAATTCCTGGACTCACTCTGTGTCTCTTGAAGGACTGAGCCTGACATGCGAAAAACCTAGCTGTTAGCATCAACTTCAGGAAGGAAAGCCTATGCTCTAAGGAAGGACCAGCAGCTCTCTCAGGGCCACTGGCCCCATCTACCCACAGCTCTTGGTCTGATAGGGAACCTCTGCCAGACCTTTTTCTAACCCTTATAGGAAGTGAAACAGCAATCTGAGGATGAACACAGGAGCAGGGAGGTCAGGGGCAGTAAATCTGTCCTGATTGTCCTGATTTCAATAATGACATCCCCCTGTTTAGCTTTGAGGAAATTCCACATGACCTGACAGTCCTGTCTGAACTGTATCCCAGAAAAGGGTGTGCAAAATACAGTGGGCCTCTTCTTCAGTTGGTACATGTCAGCACAAGTTCACCAATGCCTGCTTCCACTGGCCAAGAGTCACCCGCCCCCCCGAGGAAATGGCCAAGCTGCTTCTGCAGAGCTCCTGACAATGACACTGAAAAGCATCCCCCACCTATTTATCCATGCTTTGTGAGCACCAGTCCAGGAAATGAGGCAGGGAAGGCATGGAGGCTCCATGCTCAGTATCTCTGTCTCCAGCATGCTTGAGATCAGCAGCAGGGGCAGCCCCCAGGGCAGCTTTGTGGCTTCATTTCTGGGCTTGGCATGCATGGAGAAGAACAGGTCAGCAGGGCAAGGTTCTCAGAGTCACTGCCGAAAGTACCATGAACCTGAACAGATAGACGTACGCTTACCTGTCCCATGGTTTCCCACCTCATCCACCTGCGAGAGTTGGGGGAGGACAATTATTTGCTTTCCCAGGGAAACAATAAACCTTCCTTTCCTTTCTCTCATTTCATGACAAAGAGACACCATCTCCCTGTTCCCCTCCAGTTCCCATACCTTTATACAAATGATAAAATGATTGCTCGTGCATCCAGGAAACCAATTTTTTGCCTGTGAAGCGGGCATCTCTCACCGTGATGATCCTAAGCAAAGCCTGTTCTCAGCCATTGGCACTGGCTACGTTCCATCAGCCATACTGACTTCTGACCAGAAAAGCACCTATGAAATGCTGCAGAGAAATGCAGACAAAGAAAATGGCCACATATCATCATTTTAATTATATATTCTGTTGTAAATACATCTTGTACATACTTGGATGTTTTTGTGATCATTTACTGTTATTATGGGTTATGTATCAATGATGCTCTCTCAGTTTATTGTGTAACACTGTAAATAACACAATCTCCTTCTTTATTTATACTTAGGCATCTAACACACAGAGAGAGTTGTCTTCATATTACTTTAAGATCTATGACAAAAATCTGTTTGTTTTCCTTTTGCTTTACAATGTAATGTATCATTTTTCCTCCCCTTCTTCCCCCTCCCCCTGCCTTTTTTTTCCTTTTAAAGAGAGTAATAATTTATTGTTCAGGAGAGAGAGAATGTATCTGTAATGCAAACTATTCAAAGAATGCACCACGGAAGGCCATAAGGTACTGATAAACTAAAGAATTTATTATCCCAAATACTAAGCAATAAGTAATTGTTGATTTATTTAAGTTTTTATTGTTCATTCTCAGTAAAAGAGGTGCTGGAATAAATTGCTACTGTGTTGTACTGGCACAGTTGCTCAGCAGACTGCTTCAGTCCATTAGGTTTTACCTTTCTGGCTCCCTACCCCAGCATTGTGCTACACGATTATGTTATCTAGCTCCAAAATTTCCTTTGGTGAGTTACATACCTTATTTGTCATTTTAGCTGGATTTTTCCCTTGCCCTCATTTCTGGAGTGGAGTGTCCCATCCAGTCTGATGACTCATGCCCTTATTCCTAGAGCTCAGATGGCTCATTACTGATACAAATATAGCATTGTTCAAGATGCAGTTCAAGTTTTAAAAAAGGACATCCCAGCATAAATGCATTGGCCATTTGGTAGGGATTCATAGTCTGGTTCTACCAAGTTTTCCTATCAAAAAAATTATTCCAGTGTTTGTGTGACATTCCTTCCTTGGTAGGGATTCATAGTCTGGTTCTACCACGTTTTCCTATCAAAAAAATTATTCCAATGTTTGTGTTACATTCCTTCCTTACATTGCTTTCCTATGGCTGTGATGCTGTCTTACATTGCTTTCCCATGCTGTGATGTGACTGGAGCCACAGGGGGCTGAGCATCTTTGATAAAATGGCTACTAATATAAATGCCCAAATAAGAGTTTCTTTGGGGTAACATTTTTGAAAGCACCCAGGTGATTAAGGAGCCAAAGACCCATTCAAAGCCAATAGGACTCAGGCTCATATGTGCTTTTGAAGATTTTAGTGGAGGTGCTGAGCTCTTCAGCACATGTGTTCCTGTGGTTTCCAGAAGCCTCTTCTTGTGCAAAGGATGGGGAACAGCTGGCTTGGTCCAAGTGTGTCTCTCTGGCCATCTCCTCACACATATTAAGGGTAGTGGAATTGCAGCCTCTGCAAGTCTCTACTGAGCCAGGCAGCAGATGAATGCCAAGAACTTCAGGGCAAAGGAGAACAACAGCCTGCTTGTTTTCCAGCATACCACAAGTGCAGTCCCACCTCGTTGCAATGAAATGGCATGGCTGGATAGTTCCCAATTCTCATTTGCTTTCTCTCAGGTGCAGCTAAGAAAGAGCAGAAGAGACCACTTAAAATGCCCAGTCAGCTCTTGGCTAACCCTTGATGAAGCCCTTGGGCTATGAATGCATTAACACATGCCAAGCCATGCCCTCTGCATTCATCTCCACCTCAAGCAGTCAGTCATGTAGCAAACAGGCCTAGGGTTGTCTCTGTGAACACTTTCTCAGATACCCCTTACTACTGGCTTTGTGAGTCCATTTCTCTCTTACCCTGAGGCACTTTTATATACCACAAAGGGGTCTTAGTGGCAGTGAGAATCCAGTCCAAGATTCTTCTTTGTGGTTAGAGGGAGCAGCATTTTGCTGGAGCAACATGTATGGCATTTGGTACCTTTAGAATGATCTGATTTGTCTGCCTGATAGTTTCCCAAGTTAAGGGGAAATCTCATGGGTGGGCTGGTAGTAATAAAACTCCAAAGCACTTTGGCCATCCGAGGCACTTTGAATTTTCTTTGCCTCTCAAAAATGTACTTTCCAAGGTTTCCTTCAGCCTGAACACCCTTCTGCTGTTCTTCTTACACTGAGCTTCTTGGATTCTGAATTGCTGTGTTAAAGTTGCACTGGTCCTCAGCCACCTTTTGTAAAACATCGTGAGAAACATCAGGGTGCCAGATTCCATTTCCCTTTCCAGGGCAGAAACAGAGCAGCCCCCCCTTGCCTTGCCACGGGAGACAGTGAATCTGCCATTAGGTTCAGCTGGATCAGTCTCCCAGCGGTAGGATTTCCAGTCATATTACATTCTGCTTCTTACCACCCATTGTGTGTCACACACAGGTGGTCTAGTTTCCTACTTGGTAAAATAAACTGTAATTTTTTCAGGATTATACAGATGCACCAGGACATTGCATAATTAGACAAGACCCTTGGTCTATCCTGTTATTGGGAATCAGTTGACTCTTGAGTGAAATCATGCCTATATCAAACCATTTTCCTGACATACATCTTCCTGTGTTAGGGGAAAGCCCTCAGACAGAATCTTCCTAGGAGCTAATGTGCCCCCAAGACAAAACAGCCTGGCTTTACTTTGATGTAGCAATACAAAAAAAAGGGAGAATCATTTCCATTCATTATCAACATGCCAAAAGCCAATGGAATTGTAACACCGCTAATGTTAATGGCCTACACATGCACATATATAGTCCTATTTAATGTCCTGTTGCAGGAGTTGGCAACCTACAGCCCATGAGCTGGATATGGCCTGCAAAGTGCTTGGATCCAGCCAGTGGTGGCACGGTGGATCAGCAGCATACAGCTCAGCCCAGCACATCCCCCTTTTCTGCTGTGTGCCATGCTTGTGATCCCCTTCAGAGCACTCCCTATAGCCCTCCCTGCTCTCTCACCTGCCTCTATAGCAGGCACTGCTTGCCATCATCACCATCACTGCTGAATTTGTCCCTCCCCACTGCCACTGAAGACAAATCAGTAGCACCTGGTGGAGATGGTGCCACATGGCAGAAATGACTTGGGTGCTGCTGAAGAGGGTAGCAGCCTGTAGCAGTGGCCAGATCAGATGCAGTCAGTCTGTGGCTCTAGAAGATTGCATACCTCTAGCTTATGGGCACAATGAAGGCCTCCTTACACTAGGAATTCAGAGTGAAAACACTAGAAGATGGTTGTAAAAATCTCCATAAACAAAAACAGTTTTTTGATAGCAGTAAAGTGAGTGACAGGGAATCATTCCAAATTTGAGTGCTAATTGGCTGGGGGATAGGAGTTCACTTACTGTTAATAACTAATTAAATCATTAGTCTTTCAATGACTGATTTGGAACCAAGTTATGGAACATGCCAAAAAATGTGGGGGAGGAATTCTAACGACTCTGTATGTTTCACTGGC